GTACGGGCTCGTGAATTTTTTTTTGGGTGATTTGCTAACTCGAGAACATGAGAAGCTAGAGAACTAGACTTTTTATGGAGACGTTCCCGTCCACGTAGGTCTTAATGAGCTCTAACACAGACACCAGGTATGCGTGGTACCCAAGCACGGACCCGTGGAAGTTTTTCCAGATAAGTTGCTAACTCGGGAGCCAGGAAAGCTAGAAAAATGAAATTTTAAGGGATGTTTCCTTGACAGTTCTGGCGACCAGTCTTAAAAAAAAACCGGTGCCGGTAGCGACAAAAACTGCGGGGAACTATGCAAATAAATAGCGCGCACTAGAGTAGCCGGTGCGATCATGCATTTTGTGCATTTCAGCCCATCGAATGATTGCCTATTAATGATTGCCACTGTTTCGTACTTTTGTTTATGCAAAAATAGTTCAACAATTGGAAAATAGTTGAAAATTTCACGCACCAGCGCATGAAAGCTGAATTCGAAACCTTGGAGGGTGAGTATCCTTCCGTGATTCCCGAGTTAATAGTTCACTCGCCAAAATTTCCACGAAGCCGTAGATGATACTCAAGAGCGCGGGAATGCTGAATTTGAATAGGCAAAGTTAAACGTGGGCAGGGGGTCATTACCCTAAAATTTCAGCCTCCTAGACTCCGTGGTCCTAGAGATATCAATTTACCCGTAAGAAACTTTCGCGAGGCCGTACGTGTTACCCGCGGGTACGGGAAGGCTGAATTTAAATTTGCCGCGTCATCCACTGGCAGGGAACACCACAGCAAAATTTCAGCCGACTAGCTTTTGTGGTTCCCGAGTTGAAAGTATGGGACAAAATGTGGGACACACACACAAGCACACACAGACAACCCCGTGACAATATGCGTTTTATAACGCTGTTACACAGCACAAAACGCATAAAAACGCATCTTCGCACCGGCAGTCGATGCGTTGGGCAATTATACATTTCTGTAAAATTAATGCACTACAAACCCTTGCCATAGCCGTCATACTGACGAAGTCCAGCTGTGGTAATAGAAAGGAATCTATTCATGCTCTCATTTTTGTAATTTCACAGCAATATTCACAAAAACCGAACGTGGCTATGCCAGATTCTTCATTGTTGAACTGCCTAAATCTATGTTTTTCTGAGTTGCGCTCACCTTGAAACCAGAAAAAAAGTTGGAAACAACAACATCGCGCTCCGTTTCACTGATGTTCTTTGGTACGCCGAGTAAAATCAGCATATTATCACAGTCCACGACGCCCATGGCATACAAATCGCTCAGGACATTGGCACAAGTAACTCTGCCCTAAAAAGCAAACAGCGCAGTTAAGTATTACTCATGATGGCCAAATTATAGAACTTTGGAAAGTGTAACCATTAAATATGGGTCATCAACAAGTGGATAAAAGAAATCTGTGGTCTGGATGAGAAAAAGGCCATCGTGCCGCAACGGTACCACACAGCTGTCCAAGCCAATTCCTGAAAGTATTCCATTCAATCAATATGCCTGACAGGCTCTTGCTAATTAACCACAGCGCCTCAAAACAGGCCAGCTGGAGGCAAACCTATTTCATCGGCCTTTCCCTCGGATTTCAAATCCTTCAGCAGCTCCAGCAAAACCTGGAATATTGCAAAGGTGAACATCGTATGCCAGCAAATGAGATGTTCCTAACAGCAAAACAAAGACCTACCGCCCTTGGCACCTTGCAGCCACAGCCCTTCATCTGCGTCATCTTTGTCAACAGAAATTCAGCCGATAAACCATAATTGGTCGGATTAAAGCCACCGAGGATGCGGCTTACTACTTTATTCATCCTGCAAAAGGCATCCGTAAGTCCCATATACGTCACACAGCGTCTGAATAACGGGCACTGTCATAGCGTGAAAAGCCAGGGAACAATCCACTAACGATCAAACGAAGGGACCAAGCTACGAATATGCGAGTAACCTCTTTAAGTCATCACCGCAAATCTGCTCCCAGCTAGGCGCCAAAATGCCGCCCCTCCCAGCCCAGCAGCAACAAAAAATACCTCTCAAGTCGTTCTGGGGTACCGAATAACTTTGGGGATATGTGACCCACACCACCACCTCCGAAAAAATTTGACAGTGCGTTTATGATAGACCAGCAGATCCGTGTCACTTTTTACCGTCTTTGCCACTTAACGAAGCTCCCCAGCTCACCATAAGGCAGACGGG